ACACAACAGACATTCTGTCAACAGGCAAATCCTTGTCGGTGGCCAGTCAACCGTCAGAAGGCTTTGCAACTTAGCATCTTGTTGTGCTCGTATGGTGTAAGGAAGCAAAAACGACAGATTATTTCAGTCGGTAATGCTGTGCTGCACCTCACCACCTTCTAAAACACGTTCAGATCAATTTGCGGATCAGCGTTGCACTATTTTGTATGCACTGATATCCCGATAGAGAAAAAAGCTGTTTGCTTTGGTCTCAATGTCCCTATGTTGCATGGTAGTAATACTCACAAATTGCCAATGATAAATTCCTCCCCAGGATGACCTTATGTGCCTGACTTTCATCTGCGCATTTTTCTTTCAACAGAACACATAAAACTTAAACTATTCATCGTAATTACCCCACGTTTCACTATTCGTTACGTGTACAGATAAAAACCCATCCGTTACAGTGGGTGAATGGGCCACAGCCAAAGGATTGCGTGACGAGACCGATTGGATGAACTGATGGAGCAAAAGATAGTACTCAGATTTTCATTGACACAAATATTCCTTTGTGAGAAGACCGCTGTTTGCTGGCAACCATGCGGCTTTTGGTTTGTGCATTGGAATTCACTAAAACTATCTTTAACCTACCAAAAACTCCGACCTTTTTTCATTAATTCTCTTCAAATGACGCTGTGTGCAAAAAACATCCATTTTCATCTGAGGGACTGGGGTTTTCTGGTCCTGAATTCCGTTTTTGGCAAATTTTGGTAATTATTGACCGGTGTTGAACACTCGCAATAAATCAAGACCAGGTGAAAAACTATCCTGCGCATAAAATTTGGGATGAGAATGTCGCACCTTGGATTTTGCAACCGTTTGAATTCGATCCTCGGAGTTATTTATCGATTCCTAGATCTCAGTATACCTGTGTAATCAGGACTGGTCAAAGGTGCGCGTAACAAACCCAGATTGATAGGGTTCCATAGGTATTTTGTGCATGTATTAGACAAGCAATTTCACAGACTTGAAGCTGTTTTGTGCTGGTTACTTGAAGTAAACAGTTGTGCTAAACGCAACGGCTAATATTGAACAACCACAAAAGCCACTCGAGCGTAGCAGTGTTTTAGAGAGATATTTTCCGGGTCATTTATTCACCAAAAAAATATTTGTGGACACAAATATGTTTGCTTTGTATCCACCAGGGTGACGTGACACCCAGAAAGTGGGCAGCTGGAAAACGTAAGAGAAAATGTCGGAAGTACCACCTGTGAGTACCTGATTACATCAGCCCAGTATACCGAATCAGAACAGGATTTCCTATTTCTAAAAGTTGATAAAAAAGAAATACACATGAATACTCAGCTAACTATATGAAACATTTTCTCTCCCTTACGACATGACTTGCGCCTGGTTGCCAACGTGCGAACTGTACACACGAAATTCGGCAATGGCAGCTGCGAGCTCCGTTGTGATGGTTTCCTCTCGACAAGCAAGAAAACCTGTGTCATCGACTTGACATGCTTATCGCATCGAGGTGAAAAAACAGTGGATGACCGGAAAACACTACCTAAAGGACCTCAATATCTCTGTCGTATATGTCCTTCATAAAAACATCGTGCTCGATTCATTCAGATGCGGTTATTTTCAACAGCCTAAGGGAAGATTGAAGAACATTTAGATTGTTGCAATAATCATGCGATTGTGTGCGTATGATAAAATAGCTTAAACGCCCTAGACAGCAACCTAACGAGTAGTGCATTACGAAAATATATATGTATCGCGATATCTCGAATTTCGCAGCGACTGAAATATGAGGCAGCCTGATGCAGCACATTCAGTTGCCCGAAAACTTCAAAACCGAGAGATTCAGCTGGGTTCTAGGTGAGTCCCTCGAAGAACCAAATTGGTTTGCAAATGAGTGTATTTCGCTAATTTCCTGCAATTTGGTTTCATGTAGAACATAAGGTTGATGGAAACTCAGGGACTGCGCTCAACCGATGAGCCCCAAGAAGGGCGAAACCCATCATGGGCTGTCGAGGAGTTTTTGGCGAACATGTGAGTAGTGCATTACAAAAATAGCTTAAACACCATTCTCAGCAGCCTTACTGGGTATTTGCACTGAATTTCTTCCTCGACCGTCATTCCCATCTGGCCTAAGATAGCCATTCGTGTTCGTTGAATCAGGATTCAAATGCACCATAAACATTTTTTACAGTTAGCAATCTGGCAATTTGCAACAACTGACGGTCTCAAACTCACTCAAGGACAACAGTTTTATGGTTCCATTTCAATCTGGCTAACAAATGTTACTATGCTGCTCTGCCAGTTTGTTTTAATCCAAGAGACAATAGCAGAATGTTGTATGAATAGGAAAACTGAAATTTTAGGTTGTCCAAGTGACAAACAAGTTGATTTCTTCCCATTCGTGCTTGTGAAATTAAGCCAAACTATACTGTAGGGTTTAAATAAAGACGTATATCTGGGGTAACAGGATTCAACACCCATTTCGAATATTTACTTCTTTTTTAGCGTAATTCGGAAATGTTCATAATTTTGAACTTTTTTTCTCATAGCCGTGTAATGAATATTCACTGAACTCTTTCACTGATCATGTTTGAAAGGATAGTTTCCTTATGGATTTTGTTTTGATGAATATTCTTCTAGGGAGACATATAATATCAAAACCTCCCAATGGGAAAAATTCTGGGACTAGGAGAAACATTCAGCTTGCATGTCCAATACCCGGGTCTGATAGACGCCTGAAAACCCAGTTATCCATTCCTCGAACTAACCTGGTCATTAATCATGGAGCACATACGTTTAGTGCGTTATCCTCGTCTCGGTCAGTCGTGCTTGCAGTTTCGACGATTTACGGCTTAGTTAAATGTGATTTCATACGTTTTCATCTCCTGCAAGTAAGAGGAAATAATTTACCAGACACGCAAATTCGATGAGCGAAATAGAACCCATAGACCCGAGTTTCAAGACAAACACACAGATTGACAATGGCTGTTGGTCGGTTGTTACTCATCTGATCTAGTGTAATGGTTTTATTACTGCAGATGGTTGTCTGAACGTTGAACAATTCGTCACTGGGAAACGGATACTTCATGCCAGGCTGCCTATTCACTAAAAACAGTTCACTCCATTCATTATAGACAAGAGCTGTTTAGGATCAGGTCTATCCACAGAAACTATTAAGATCCTCATTTTACATCTCTTGCCTCCTACACACAGAAGGGCTTCTCTTGCAGTTCGGTACATATGTACGATCCAGTGACCCCCCTCGGTTTCATTCAAGTTTAATCAAGATAGACTGAAATTATTGATATATTATTGAGTGAATCAAAAAGACGTCCCTGTGTAGCAGTCAAAAGATTATAATTAATTATCAACCACGAAGTGATTCGTCGGATATTTACATACACACGTCCAGCCTAAACTCATCTCCAAATGTGAAGAATCAAATAATGTTGTCGAACTTTTAACTTATCAGGAACAAGCGAGGAAATAAAGCGGGTTTTATTACGGCTTCTGTTTGGACGTCACCCTATTATAGTCATTAGCTGTGAAGACCGATATTTTGCCTCACAGTAGTTATGGGCGTTACAGGTCGCCGATGAGCTGGGGAGACCGGCAATGAACAATGCAGCTGGTTTAACTAACGCGAAAATACCTGGGTATCAATGGACTTTTCATTCAGTGATGTTTAGTGGACTTTAAAGCTTGAATGTCCCATTTGAATATTACAGAGCCCGAACAAATTGGATCCCTTTGAGAGGTCAACGTTTTCTGGTGTGCGTCTTACTTCGTTCAACACCTACTAATGTAAATTTAGTTTTGTCCAGCATCAAGACTTTAGATCCCAGTATTGACATATCGGGGCTTCTTTGGACATTATATTGAGGCCATCGTGGTTCATCAGAGCATTGAAAAGTAACCTATACTTTCTGACAAATCTCGCTGTTTTGCACCAATCTCAGTAATTCCGTTTGTACGTTGTCACCGTTTGGTGCATGAGAAAGAAATATAATCAAAACTGGCAGCGCCGTTTTAACTTTCAGTAATTCGCGTATCTCTCTTCGGTGAGTTATGACTCTATTTGAATGGCTGTTTCACTGTGGCACACAATGCACTTGCACGTAGTGTGACAGGTGTTTGGGTCTTCAGTGCCCAGTTTATTTTATGTATGTTAATCTCTTTTCAGCGCGCTGGGCAGCCCAGAGAATTCCCAAAATACTCACCGTGCTCTATTGAGCTACTCAAATTTTCACCTTCAACCGTATCAATAAAATACACACACAGTGATTTTTAATTTTTGGGTAAACAAGAATACTGCACGGCATCGGTAGAAAAGGGGAATTTGAAATCGGTGTGCCTGCATGAATAATTATTAGTTGGTGGGTTTCGGTGCAAAATTAACCAGAAAAACTTCCGGAACCCAATCGCTCTGGTTAGTTTAATTTCGCTTGTTACCCTAGTTGTCGTTCATGCATAGTATCAGAGAGAGTTGAAGACATCTGAGAGTTGCTCTACAAGGATGTTTTCAGTGTCGAAAAACACAAGACAAATACATCCGAAATGTTTTCGAAATATTTTACTTATTATGACACTAAGCGCTTAAAACCGTATTTGATCATTAGCAACTTGATCGTACGGAAAACTGACGAGAAACCCGCCACTTTTGACCACCATGTGGCGCAATAAAAGCGAGATATCTTTCGGAATATAATTTATCTTGATATAAAACTGTACACATGTATTTACAAAGTTAGTGGCACATCTGGGTAGGCAGTCGCTTACAAACGCACCTTTATAAAGCAGTGAAAGTGGGAATCTTACTCACATATGATGGAATGTGGTAGTGTGATTACAGGACAGTTACGTTGCTACATATATGGAGGCTTGCCTGTGTCCTGTGTGAAAACCTTCACGGTTTTCCGTTTGGGTTCAAACTCACGAAATTTATAAGGCTAGGCGACTGAACCACATAGCGAAAGAAGTTATGACAGTCACAATATGCGATAATGTACATGACCGGAAAGATTGGGTATTTCCTCTGTTCGATCTGTGTGAGAGACCGGAGGGTTTTGCAACCGAAGTCCTCGGATGCCTCCAGGTGGCTTGGTTGACATTTTGTCGGTCGTCCGCTACTGAGTCCAACAACGAAACGGCAGGTCTTTCATGTGCAGAAGTCGTGCCAGTTGACTTTGACCGAAATACGATATCGGCCCTTTTCAACACTGACAAAACAGCAGGAAAACGTATTTCTCCATATCGCCTATTAACCATGAGCTCCAGCAATTTGAGAGATTGCACGCATAGCTGAAATCAAATTGAATTGGAAAATATATTATTCATTAGTTGCACTTTCATGTGAAACAGCTTAATAAAACTATTCCTAATCAGCTCCGCTCTATGAACTCAGACTAGGCATTTTGTATGCCTTAGAATTCATCGGAACGCCTTTACGAAGTGAAACCCCGGTTTCTTGGAGGCTCTCATGGTTATTAAATGGAGGCATGTGGGTCAACCATCGGGGTTTGTCACAAAACACACTGGATATTTCAATGGTCGCTGTGATACGAGCGTATAGAATTTTCTCAGCAATGTCTTATCTGAGTATTTTTTCTTCATCAAGTCGCCGCTTGTTCTCACAGATTTTATCCAGCCTGAATCAGGCTACCAGTGTGCAGCAATGTGAGTGAAGACCGTTTCTCAGACTCCAATTGCTCGCTTTTCATAAATTTAAATATGTGAGGTATTCACTTAAATCTGTCGCTTTTTCGCTAAAGAAAGTGCTGTTTATTTGCTTTTCATACAACATACACCTGAAGGTATTTTTTTACTTTGGCATCTGCTATCTCGTTGGATCTATGTGTCGAGTGTCAAACTTTGCCGAAGTAAGTCCTGGTCAGACATTTGACTTACTGATCGTGCATCTTGATCACTGTCCCGATTAGTATGAGCAGACTGCCAGTCGATCAACAAACTCGGCCGCGTTATTATCGCGTAAACCAAATATCCGGTCTTTCCCCGATCGGACGAGTCTGGTGCATCCGCGCCACCGAGGAGCCTAGGTGTCGATGCACCATGGGAGGCGTCAGCTTCGATTCGGTGTTCGTTCAAAACCAAGCCACAGTCCCGGTCTCCAGTGCTGTTTCGTAGGATGTCAACCAGCAGACGCCCTATGCTGATGAGGCTATTGAGATACTGAAGTTCCGAATTGACCAGGTTTTCAGTTAGAAGCTGAACAACAGATATGAGTTCTCCGCTATCGTATCTGAGCACAAACTGGTAGTCTGTGGGGAGAAAAAACAGCTTAATATAATTTGTTGTCGTTAAAAAATAACGCATGCAGTCTGAAAACAATTCAAGCGAATTCAGCCGCTTAATCTTCCATGAATGTCTCCCATTCGGGCCGGATCTCCCAAGTTGAGAGGGTGAAATCGTGTTTTGTGGTAACTGTGCCACCTGCCCACCCACAAGTTCAACTTTTCCAAGCGTAATTCTATAATCCGTATACGCTACGTATACGCTCCAGAAGGCAGGTATTGCACCAACAATGCAAACAGAAGCTAATGTTTGTGACAAACTCATTCCAGTTCTCTCAGACAGACCGCGCACCCCGGAGGCCGGTCAAAACTTTGCTAACTCCAGAGGACATTGTCTTTGTGCTACAGATATTACCATTAGGACATGCTTCCGTGCTTAATTGTTATGCAAACATGTACTAATATATAAACATTCTGACGTTGTTATCGCGTATAAAGTGTGGATGAGCAACGGTGAATCTGTTTGGGCCAAATGAGCAATTTTCAAGCACACACACAGCATACATTAACACGCAAAATCGCATAGTTTACCGGCGCAAAAGATATCATTCAAGCTGATTGACTAGACTGATTTCCACTTGTAGGTGACTCTCTTGTAACGCAGCCTATTTGGCACCCAGCCACTGAGCGCTATACTTTACAGGGCAAGTTTCGCATTTGTTTTATCAAGTGTGAGCTCCAATGCGTTTCACCTTTTGAAGTAAATCCCTTAAACTGCCAATCATATGATTCCAGTGCCCATGAAACAGTGAAAAGTGTCAAACAAATATCAGAATCAGTGTTATCTTAGTAGCTTGATAAAAATCATCCAAATTACGTAACAACATTCTCTGTTTCTACCAAAAAAATACATCAAATATCATCCCAAAATGATCAATATAAATTCTTTGTCAGCGAATTTCTCTCCAGTTTTTCAGAAACAAGGTCGTTAACTGAAATTGTTTTGATTGCCTTTTTATAGGTTAATCAGCGGCAACCTATGAATATGTGCACACTGAACGTTAGAAACAGTCCAGCACTTACCTACCTTCCAGAACATCTAGAAATCCTAGAAGAGCAGTCACCATTAAAAAAATTCCGGCATGGTGAGTTTGACTTCTCTGTCGGCGGCACATTAGGAGTGCGATTTACTCTCTTTCTGGCTGTCCGTGCGATTACACTCACCAGTAGATAAGGCTGCATCTTCGCGTTGATTATGTGTCTAGTAGAGTATTCTCAGAGTGCAAACCCCATTTCCAGAACTAACGCGAGAACAAATACAAAAAACTGCGTTTGCTTCAAAATTAGTATCGCTAGGGAACCACCCTACATAAATTATTTCATTGCATTGGTTATTTCGCCTCCAACGCGAAGTCATATAGACGATCTGCTGGTGTATTGAGCAGCGCCAACATGTTTGCTTCACACAAGTTCATCCATTAGGCTCCTTGGATCCACTTATTTTGACAATTTCGCCAAATTTTACTCAAAATTGGACCCTTATACTACGCTGGGTTAGTTCTGCGAGTTCCGACGACATCGGAATGTTTAGGACAGTGCTTTCTTCCGCGGACTTGTCAGCATCCTGAAGTCCTCAGGGAAATGATATTCCACTATGCAAGATACTTCAAACAGATTCCGCCGTGATATTTGGAAAGCTCTCCGGACTCAGGTCTTGTTCAAACGGAATGTGAACAAGTTAAACATGAGTTTGTAACCACACCGACCTTTTTGCGTGTTCCATAATCTCTGTATTTAGGAGTGACCCCCTCAAAACTTCGACAACAGATACTCTGCAGGACACGCTGCTCTAACGGAAATAAGACAGAGTTAGAAGTCCCAATACTCTGAGAACGCCCAAGGACAGATAGTTTGTTACTCGGATTCAGCCAAGATAACAACCCACTAGTAAAGGCATCCTGAAATATTCACATAGTGGCTGTGCACATGTGCTTTCAAATCTGTTACACGGTGCAATTTCATTCAGACTAAATTCCAGTCATCTACTGAGAATGTACACCAGGATGAGTGTGGAAAACCACATTCTAAACAAAGCCTCAGCGGGTAACTCTGGTGTACGTTTTGTTCAGCAAACCACAGAGTAATCGAACGTTTAATCCGACAACCACCTCATTATACGATTGTCATTAGAAATCGGCTCCTGTAGGCTTTGCATATCTCTCCAAGGGACACAGTTTTTGGTCAGGCTCGAATACCACAATTTTCGTAACTACACCCAACACATGCTTTCGGACAGACAAAATTTTCCATCATCACCGGCGCGAAACGAGTGTCTCCCACAGTGATATTCATTCTTTAATTTCTCATTTTCTTTGTACGTCCGTGACCTACCCCTCCGTGGATAGTTTTGCTGATCTAAGTAGGCAGGCGATCACAGTTCAAAAGTGAGAACTGGATATAAAAAACCTCGTTACTTCACATGGAGGGCGTTACTTCAATCGATGTTTCACAAGCACCAAGCCGACACTTTTCTCTTGCTTGAGCCAGAAGGAGCAAATACAGCATGTCATCGTTTGTTTTCACAGTGTTTGTGGCCCGTGACGGGCTGTAAATATTTAATGTAGACTCACCCTAACCAATAGTTCCACTTCATCGTCTCGTGTTCATTATCCATCCCATGATGGACACCACATTCCTTCTATTCATGGAAATTACCTTTTTTCACTATCCACCTGACAACTGGGGAATCAATCAACCCAATCAATCAACTTATCAACTATAAACGGTGTACCATGAGCATAGTAGTTTCAGCTGCTATGGTTTCGATCACCAGAAAGTGAGAGAGTATGGGGTATAATCAAGCTTTCAAGTTCGTTGCATGTACAGCTAGTTCGGGAAATGGCTGGTTACTCACTGAAGACGACAGCTTTGATGCATTAGCGACTGGGATATCTCTGCCACCGCCACTAATCATTGGTGATTCCAATACCGGGATCCTCGTCAAGAGAAGCGGCAGTCGTCGACCCAACTCAGCTTACAGGTTAGTGTTTTCACAATTTCTTTTCAGGTCATATACTATCCACCTCTGGGCCACTTTGACTCAGCACATGGCTTGGAGAAAGGAGCTTCGTGTGGCAAATGGTCTTCTTTTGAGGAAACCACTGTCCCATTTGTGTAGTTGGTGCGGATTCTCTGGATGTCTCTGTTAATGACTGCCCTAAAACTAGCCAAGATTTTCTGCGTGCGGACGCTGCTTATCTGGCCCAGCTCTATCCCAAGCCACATCTACTGTCTGCATTTCACTCAGATATCACATACCGGGTACCGAAAACTTGTGCTTCTCAAAGTGGTCTTGTCAAACCTGATCGACGGTGTTATGCGCTTCTAAAAAGTCGGTTCTTCTAATTCGCACAAAATCACTAACATTTATAAAGCTTTTTGGTCTTCTTTTAGATTTCCACCTGCAAGGAATTTTCAGGCCCTAAAAATATCCCTCTGTGCAAATAAAGTTACTTTTGAAGTGAGATGACCTTTACACAGCAGTCAGCGCACATCATTTGAGCACTGAAGACCTGGTACCACTGTTGAGTGAGGCTCAAATGCACTGTTACAAGAAATGAAAATGCATGGCAAGATTGGCAAAATGAACCATACTGGAATCTTCATAAGACTGAATAAGTTCACAGAAAATCGACAGATGGAGGACAAGGATGTTTTCGGAAAAGTCGTCGGATATTCACATTTTGTAGAAAACAAAAGGTCAATAAAATAATGATGGGAATGGTTTCTTACAATCTTTTTGTGGCATATCTTTGTTCTCTTGAAAGACGGCATGCTGGTCATGAGGCAGGTAAACAGTTTTCTTTGCTCGAAGCGCGTGACCTGAACTTTTGGTTGGGCTACTTTTGCTTGCAATACGCTATATATTACATGTGAATTGCGGTTGCTGATTTCTGAATACTCGTAATCGAAGATCCGAATGCTACATGACTCCAACAGTTGATTTCGGGTCCAGAGTAGGAATTGACATGAAATGTTCAGCCGTAGTCCTTCGAGACATGTTTACTTATTTCTAATCATCTAGAAGGGGTAATGCCGATCATATGCCCACATGAATAGGAACTAGCCTGCACTCATGTTAATATGTTAGAGCAATCATAAGCCATTGCGCAGAACTATGAAATTTGTGAGTATCATCGGGGAAGTGGACTGATACGGAAGGGAATTTTCACTGTAGTTTCTTGAAAATCTCCACTCTGATAGAGAATGATTAAACAATTTGTGTGTGTTGCATCAAATGCTTCCTACCAACAGCTGTGAGTCTGGATAGTTGTGTTTTTTGTTAATATGGTGCGTTTAGTCTGATCAGAGTTGATAGACAGCGTAATTCGTATGAATCAGCTTGACCTGAACTATTCGTCTGCCTCACGATTGACCCGATTTGATTTCAGAATCGTCGATGAATCGAAAACGGCCGACTGAGTCTGCCGAACTCGAGATGCATACTGATCCGAACCGCGTGCACTTACACTGATCTTCCCGAAAAAGGACAACTGTGGCTAGATGCCAAAGCTCGGAGGTCGGAATCAACAGTATTCATACAAACAGAAGAAAAGGAAGTAGATTTCTGAGGTTCCCGGAGGATTTTAGACGAAAGTCAAAGTAGACCATTCCTCATTCTGTTCGACAAAACGAGCATACTACTTTCAAACGAAAGCCTTAGGAATTTCATCAAGCAATTGCATTTGATCACATGTTATATATTGCAGTGTGGCCTGGTTAGGTCTTGCCTTCTTGACACCCATTTTACGCTACTTCGCCCAATATTTTACGCAAAATTTTGATGAGGATGAGCAAACACTAAGCTGTCACTACATAACTGCACACGGATCGTTTTATAAAGCAGACCATAAATCCAGAAACCATTAATCTAATGGCATAGCAGTGTGACAATGACTACTATGGAGTTGCCGTAGGTAAACTTCCTCAAAAATAATAAACGTAACTAAGAAACCTAACTAAGCGGTATAAAAGCTAGAACGACATTCCTGGGATTAGATTAGTCTCTATGTTGAAGTAGGTACTATAGGCTTGGTTTTTGTGCATGGGCCTGAGGGACAGTACTTTACCAAACGTCCATGGTTTGTGGATTCTAGAAATTGTTGAAATGAGACAAGATGCGCAAATTTTCGAACCAAAGCTGTGTATTCTGAGGTCCGTTGCCAAATGGTATTCTACTTCGCAAGCATTTATATCCGATAATTCAGCGCACAAACCCTGACTGAGTTACTTGTCCGCCGCCGTAATCAACCTGATGCTCTGTTTCTAGTGCGTGAAAAATGATTGTTGATTTAGAACATTTCCAAAAAGGGTTATGCACTATGATAGAAAGAACGCTGCACTACCGTGCACTTCGGGATAATTTGGATACCGCCAGAAACCTCATTTCAGTAGCCGCATTGGTCTAAGCTATACTAATATCGTCAGATGGTCCAGAGGTTTCAAAAATTTGTTCTTCCTAGTTTTTTGGTGTGAATATAGCCTTATTGCACTAATTTCCGTAACTAACCATCAGATAGTTCTTCCATTAAGGTGATTCGTCTATGCATGCCATCTTGACAAAAGTGACTATATTTGGACTGGCTATGTGTGCTACTCACCGTAAAAGCGCAGTGGGCTACCTGTAGATGCTCACTGCGCAAACGATGTGATCTACGAAGTTATTCCTCATATCGGATCAAGCAGCCCAAGGTTGCTCTTCTGAACGGCTGGTTTAATCAAAGAAATGTCGAGAAGTGCCTCAACCACGTAAGTTTGGGGGAAGAAACTTACGCACAAAAATCCTTTTCGATATGAGTTGGAAAATTAGTGGTGCTATCTATGTGCGGACTGGATCTTTAAGTACAAAAATTCCCGGAAGGTGAGCAGCGACTGTATCAGCCAGATAGGATTCATAAAAACAAAAACAAAAAACGAAAAATAAAAACAAAAATAAAAATAAATAAAATAATGGCAGCTATTCAGCACGACACTGGCTATCGCAATTCACTACTCTTTGGGCTTACCCAAAAGGACATTTGGTCCAATATTCTGAGTAACGTCGCACCATACGTCTCCATTTACGCGACAGATACATGATGAATCGATCAACGAAGCATAGTGACATGGGGATGGACTATTATCGAGAGCAATTTTTTCATCCCTTCTGCTCCCCTCTGGATAGACATCTTCAAATCGTCTATCATTTTCGAGGCGCCTTTGTTCCAAAGCGCACAGACGATGCTGACAACCACCTGAACAACTGCACAAATAGGAGCACTCGGAGGATTTCATGGCCAGATTCGTGTGTGTTTCATTTGCGAGCACGCGGATGGCAGTTGTTGGCGATAACTCCAATCTTGTTGTAACAAAGCAGGCCACTTAAAGGGTAAATGAAAAAATCGAATTCATAAAACGAGACAGGAATATTTACCGGATGAAGAGGATTCATGATTGTCTACATATAGGTGTGCGCAGTCGCACCTAGGTCCTAAACGGGTGTTAGGATTAGGGTTAGATCAAACGCTCATATTCGCCTTTTGTAACAAAACGAGTGGACGAAAACAGAGTTTTTGTTAAGCTCTTGCCTGCTGGGCTGTTCGAGGTTCAACGTTCAAAAACGGTGGTTGGTTGTGGAAACGGACCGTGTGTTCGCTGTAGAATAATAATTGAGCAGTATATACTTCTTAGGCCGGTAAACATACTCCTCTAAACTATCTCACGCACCATCTCACATGATATAACCTGAATCAGAAATGCCTGGACAGTTTGCCTAACATGATTATAACATCTACAGTGAGTTGTTCGAACATCGAGGCGAACACATTTAATGTCTGATTGACAATTGACACGCGAGGTCCTGAATTCCTGGTTTAGATCCAAACTGGTTTAGCAGTTGGCATACTAACGTACAAGCTTGCGCACACCATCTGTTCAAAGCTGTTTTTTAGTTGTTGAGTATGTAAGCCGTAGTTCCTCAGGAATACCGACTTTTATGAGTGATAAATTCGGTGACATATGGGGGGTTTTTTGCTAAAGACGACAAAACGTACTTGTTCTAGGTTCATGTCGACAGTTTTGTAGGGAACGGTATTCCATAGTGAGGCACAGGGCGAAATATACGTGTGTATTTCGAGAAACTGTAAAGCATACTAACTTGCTTACACTTTTGAAACGTACCTGAATGTGGATTCGAAGGAAAGGTACTTTGTGTTTCCAGAAGGTAATTTTTCCTCACTGCAACAGAATTACAACGTGACCGGTAAGATTTCTGTCTAAGCTTTACCGTATTCGTCTACATAATATATCACAACTTTCTGAGTAAGCATCACTTAGTAAATGTTTAAAATGCCATATAGTTTCAGTTTTTCGAAGCGTTACGTTATTTATGAAGATTCACTGCATTATGAAGTAAACCGTCAGCCATGAAAATGGCATACATTAATCACAAGTTCCGGTAGCTGTGGCAGGCAGGTTCCACAAAATATTGCAAGCTGTGACTGCTCATGTTTATCTTTCCACATATGTGTGCAACGTTTTCTCTGAGCTCTGATCCACTGAACCCGTCTGCAAATTGCTGTTTGTCTGGGCTGTCATTCATATGTTCCAGTTACGATGAACAATGTCTACCAATCAGGCTAACTTCACTTATAATAAACAGAAAACGTACAAGCACGATGAATATAAAACCAAGCTGGTTTGTGATAATTGCAACTCATTCAAGTTGTAACGCAAAGCAAGAATCCCTACAGATGTGTCTCAACCAATGGGACTCATAGCGAAAGAAAACAATATACATTTAAACAGTCGGAATGCTTGGCTGCATCCTTATGGCGCCGCAGTAAATTAATCAGCGCAGCTAAAACTTCTGCAGTTTATCTGATGTGCGATTATATAGCTTCAAGTCTCTTGTGTAGAATTTCCACCAAAACGTACACACAGACCTTTCACGGGTAATCACATCCTAATTTCCTCTGTGACCTCTTCCTTAATTTAGTCATGTTACTAAAGACCTCCATCTACGGCCTCACACCAGACAATCGGTATCTCTAAATTACAGAGGCTTAAACTTTACTAACTGTGCCCAGCACGGGTATCGATGGCCATGTTTAACCTATTCTACCAAGTCCTGCCTTGCAATGCTACCCTACTGCAGCTCACCGGTTAAAATCACACTACTTTCTGAAGCGTAACGGAAATGCTGCGGAACAACTTACATCTAAATGTGCTACCCAACAATGGCTGAAGTTATACTGATTGATAATCTGAACAATGATGTGTTGGGAGCTGCGATGGGAACTCTTGTTGGACCCGCGTCAGCATGCACTGCCTACCCATTTAAATAACATGTTGTCTGATCTCGCAAGGTGTCAGCAGTCCCGCAGCATAGCAGTCACCTATATTACTCAACAAGGTAGTGCCCGAAATTGCCATACAAACGTTCATACCGCACTCATATGGATATCGTTAATTAACGGCCCCAATTGCAAACTGTTGTGCATGCTTGAAACTGTATTCCAAAACCGAAAAACAGCAAATGTCTTATAACAAAGCTTTACACTTACCTTGTAAGGGTTGTACTTATGAGCAGTTATTCAAACACTGCTTGTAATGGCTTGACGTTCATACTTAACCCAGTGGCATAAAGCATTGGGGAACGTTAGTTCCGAAAGGTAACTCTGGTAAGGTTGTTGTCGTCCACCGAGAGGTACTAGACTAAACATGCTAAAATGTATTTCAGGCGTCGGTTGTTGGAGCCACCAGAGATTGTGTTTTCAGCAAGATGGTTTCTGTGAACTGTACATGGATGATGATATAACATAATATTTAGACCCCCCTATGAGAGGGTCTGTGGGAAACCTCCTTTTAGAAAAGTGGTACGGGATAAAGGAAATTAAATCTGTGTGCAGAAGACACTCATCGTCACATGCTGAGCCAATTAGTTAAGTTTCTGAGATAGACATTGTTCTCTTTGGGGAGGCAGGTCGCAGGTGTTCGTATTCATTAACAAGACATTTAAGTACTACACTTGGCAAAATGAGTTAGCATAGTAATCCTGAATATTTTCCTCTTTGTAATCATGGATTTAAACTTGATGACCAGTGTATAGGATTTTTTCGTCCCCTTCGCCTTCAGTCACCTGACAGGTCAACGCTATATATTCCCCGTTTGGGTTGTGGTAGTTCAGTAGAGCACATCTCTTTAGATGGACAATCCATTCCAAGTTGCGCGAAACCGGAAAGTGACCTTTTTTAAACGCGTTAATTTTACCAAGGGAAAATTATTTTAAGTATCATCTTTGGTAGTTGATGAAGATGATAATAAATAAATGTTACGGGACCAACCACAGTTTCTCATATTGCCAGATACATAAGAAGGGAAGGCACCGCATTTTCTTCTGCAGAAAGTCAGTGCTAAATACTTTTACCGGAAACATATTTTGTGTGAAGTTGACGGAACCTAGGTTCCTATACTGCATATGATTTACCAATGCAGTACATGTCTTGGATGAATCAGACTTGCAAAAATCAACGTACCACACGGTGGCTTGATCACAGACTGTTTCAGGGTGTCACATGTAAATGAATGCAACCCTTCGTTGGAGGTAAGCCTGAATAGCTCAGTCTCCATGCAGCGGCAGTTGGACAAAGGGTCCATGGAACGCCACCAACGATATGCCTCAATGCACTTTTCTGGATATACCGAACAGGCTGCACCGTTGCGCCCGCAGTCCAGCAGTAGATACTTAATATTGGCTCTAAAAAATTAGCAAAAAATTTGCGTAGGTGATTTTTCACCTGTGTAAATGTTAAACAAACAGAGAAGCACAAAATGGGTTGACTTAAATCGTCTAACCGACGTCTGACCGACGAATAAGTCAGCCGTGCAACCATCACGGGAAAACGAATACTGATAGGCATAAATTGTATCAACAGGTTGGTTTATTTGTGATTCCGTTTGTGTTGAGAATATCGGGAAACTTGGAAAGTTAAATAAAGATGTCCAAAAATAAATCCCTTCTTAATTATCCTATCAGAGCTTCTCACCGACCCAACAGCCTTCGTGTAGTAATCAGGCTGGTACCAAATCTTATGAAGCAGTAGACACAAAACAGATTGGCAACATGACCGGTCTAGACTCTGGCTGGTCAAACACTTGTCAGGGTCAGTATTCGTACAAATAATCTCTGTGTTCTTACTTGAACATAAAATTATTATATGTAGCCTAAAGGATCACGAAATCTTCACCTTTCTGGAAGGAAATATTTCTAAGGACTGTAATAACCTAAATTAGCTTTCATCTCCATCATGCGCTAAACTCCATCTTTTAAATCTACTCAATCTCTCATGCGATGAGTGAGGCTATTATCTCACTTTGCCATGGCACGAAAGTACGGTCTACATGAACACGACCAACGATTCCTGAATTCCTCCGAAATTTAACTGACTGGGAACGTCTTTCTGCAAGCCGCCATCGCCGGTAGGTTGCGTTAGTAGCAGTCAGTCATGTGAATCAAAGATAAATCACCTTGTCGACAGAATTGGAACTTTTTTCTCAATTGCCAGTGGTTGTATCACTTGCTTCAACATTGCTAGATCCGTTTCAACTCAGCTGACAGTTACAAAGAAAGGCAATGTTCAGCAAAAATAAACTTAACACCATCTTCCGTGGACGGTCAGCCGCGGTCTATCTTGTAAAAGTTCACCAAACCGCTGATCAGCCAGTGGTGGTCAAAATATTAAGTGTTCAAACAGTTAGCCAAAAGATTACGGGTTCGAAGCACCGTGCTGGGGTTTCGGGAGCTACGTACAGCTGATGAGTCCCAATAGGTAGGGAACTTATATTCATAACTTTTCGGCTTTTCAGCGTAAACTAGCCCACTTACACGACGACATATCCACAATTAGTTTCCAAGTTAACTCATAATGAAGTCAGAGCAACTAAAACGGAATTGAAAATATTTTAATCTTCACTGGAGGTAATCTCGTTAATCGATTCAACGGGGCATGTCAAGAAATGTGTTCATTTTAGGAAGTCCAGGAATCAAGACATCAATGATCTTTTTTGATTTAAACCATTCTGGAGGATTTCCCTAACGTCAGTCTAAATGCAGAAGATTTTGTCGTTGTTGAACTTGGCTCACTCAAAATGTCTCCTAAACATGAATGATTCCTGTGGTGTCAGACTAATACCGTTTTATCTCGATGAAATGCTGACCAAAATGAAGAGCACTTCATGGGGTGACCTGAAAGACAACTTTACTATTCTACTGGCAGTTAGTGACTGTCAGGATTTACCGTTTGGGACTTCCTTGAAAGAGTACGATTCTATGTTTATCATACCATTGTTCTTTTCCGACGAACTATACGATGAACAGGATCAGCCTTACACACTACAAGAGTGTCGACACGGGTCTAGCGCTACGTTACATCTACGCGACAAATTAAATTTTCATACACCTAGAGTATACATCATTACTTTCGNGTGGAACCGGTAAAAGCTAAACCAAAACTCTGCTCACATGTAGGTTGCCATCACATATTAGTAACAAAAGAAGCTAACGCCCAAAGTATTTTGTGTACACAGTTATGAGAGAGACCCTCGTACACATCTGGGGAGGGGGCTAGGTTGTTATGCATCACATGTGGAAATCAGTCTACATTATTAGGATACGCAATTCCGGTTGCATTGATTTAGAGCAGATTCATCAAATGGAATCAACACACTAAATGTGGTTTGGAATTTTCGCTTTAAATTTTCATAACCAGATGTCTTGAATGACAACTACACAAATCGTTTGTATCACGTCACGAGACACAATAGAATGAAAAATGGGATAGCTCGGACCGTTGAGAGCGTACATCATCCACAGACCAAACAGGAAGCTCAGCGATACTGCTTATAAAATATCAACATATATTCAGATGTGGTGGTCGGTGTCAATGTAGACTGTTGAATAGGCAATTCAGATGTTTTCGGGAAACCTTGGTAACAGTCGGTAGATTGATTGTTCGGAAGCGTTTCGATTTTGTCACAGGAGCTTCGTCAGGCCAAGTGACTAGGTTACGAGGTTGGTCGATATCTAAGGCGGAAGGAGGACCAATCAGGTAAGTCAAGCTAAATCTCTGTTACGTGTCGTCTGAGGGATTTTATGTTAGGGTGTGTCACCTAGTGTTAGACCGATGCTAAGGCCTGCATGGATTTGGGTCCAATCTAAGGTCTAATTCTTCCCCTCAAACGTCCTTTGGACTTTCCGTTCGTCCTTGTGGATTAACTAGTGCTAGGATAGTTGGGAAGGCGTAGTTGTGACGAGGAATCCTGTGAACTTTGGTCGGGGTGAGATTCCCACCCCCTCTAGTTTCGGTAGTGATTCTGCATGCACTGACAACCATACAATAACGTGAAGAACAAGACCCTAGACTGGACCCAATCCATGTAGGCTTTAACCCAACCTAACACAAAATCCCTCGGCCGACAAGTAACAGAGATTTCGCTTGATTTAACTGATTGGTTCTCCTTCCGCCTTAAATCTCGACCAAACTCGTAACCTAGTCACTTGGCTTGACGAAGCTTACGTGTCAAAAGCGCAAAGGTTCACAGCAATAAATCTTCTGATTGTTATTAGACTTTTCCGAAAATGATGGCAACTCAATCGGTCCGAAACGGTTTTCAGGTAATTCAGCAGTTTGCTGAAATAACTTAAGGTGTGTTTCCCAACAGGCTTTTGTTGCGACCAATGTGTTGTTTACCGAAGCAAAAGGTTTGTGCAAAATTTTTGTGGCCTAGCAAACTTCAAGTTCAAGTTGTTTGCTCTGCACTCTCACTATCTTGTTGAAACATCGGTATGCGTTTCGCCTCACTCGTGAAAGCACTGACGCCCTTGACTACACAACAACTCGAATAATTCACTTGCCCTTCTGAAATACTGACCTGGTAACTGCTCGATCCGGCGCAGAATTCGCTTTCTGTACGTGATGCTGTGCAGATCCCTCGATTTCGTTAAATTTTTGCTCTAAATGTGCCCCCTGGTGATTTCATACACTTTCTTATTATACATCTTTTTCGCTGATCAATAATGAGTTGTCAGTTTAGTCAAGATAAGCTTGAGTTTGCTCATAACTATCTTGCACTTTCTATACCACGTTATTTTTGGCTTGACTATTGTGTTAATGTGTAAGTGCGAATCAAATGACTATATCACAACTTCTTTAATGAGATATTCTCCTGAGGCCTTAAGAAGAACGACCCGATCAGGTCTTTGTGTTTTTTTATTTTCGAATAACGACTTGCGCGATACCTGCCGCTTAGGTTAGTGTCCCGACATATGTTTTCTACAAGCATTACATTGCTGAATCTATTCCACTTGCCTTAAGTGAAACAGGATTCAGGAGTATTTTTTCCCATAAATCTCCAAGTCAGTCTTGCAACTTCAAATATACGTATGGTAGTTTTTCACCTCACGCGCTTTTCTATGCTTGACACTGGGAAGAGCATTCTAATGACAAAGATCCTATTTGTCCAAAATCACGTCCACCCCATGATTCTTCGACAACGGGTAAGGAGGAGCATCCTAATTTCTGGATTCAAATAAACTGCTACAGCAAACACAAAAACAATGTCTAGAAAATTTACACAGATCACTTCATTGTACAGTCACGAACTCTTTCACATTACGCCTTTGTTTCATTTTGCAGTGATGCAAAATAATTCCACATTTCAACCGAAAGTAGATTGCGTTCCTTATGAGTCCTACAAAGGCGAAATTCCCCGGGACTGACGTTTTATTCTTTCTTAGGGACTGATAGCGATCCGTGAGAGTGAACTTGGATATTACCAGTGATGTAAACTGTGATTTAGTTTTCACTCCCCGGAATGATACATTTCAGGAGCTGTGGACTTCAAATTGGTTACTCCTTAAAATTTGAGATCTTATTTTGGTAACTCTTATCACGTGCCTGATTGCGTACTCTACTCATCTGGTAGAAATTTTTAATTGCTCTAGCCAACCCAACAACGGTTTTGTATTTTACCCCTAAAACCTGTGGGGACGATCTAAATAATGTGACTGTTAGAAAACGGTGCAGTATCCATACGGGCGTGCCTCTAACAGATCCACATAGCTAACAATGCAAAAAGGTTACCTTTCTAGCTGCATGATGCTCCAATTTTTGCAGCGTACTATATATGCTACAGCACTTTCTTCTGTTCCTATTAAGTCAACATATGAAAAAAATTCCGGATTTTTTCCTTTGCTTTCCGTTGGCATTTATTTGTCATTCTTGTGCTGGTTCCAAAGCTAAACGCATTATTCTTACAACTTGTGCCTTGAACGGCACCGATAGCGACCTAAATTTGGACAATGAGTTCCAGCTTTTGGAAATGTCAGCTAATGATTCTGGCTAGTCAGCAGTATCTCAAAGTCAAAACAATTCCATGACAGGGGGAAAGGTCTTATGCAATTTGGACCAGCATAGAAAACGGCAAACTGGGCGTTGGTTTTAACAACTGACTCAAAACACAAAGCGTACTTCCATGAGTACCATCGGTCATTCGAGGTTAAAAAATGAACCAACCTGCAGTTCCTATTTTCTTGGCAATTGTTCCATAGTGCATTGCAAGAATCTTCGTAATTAGTTTGGTCAAGTCCGATACGCTGAGGTCGGAATACCATGAGTTGTGTCTGACAATCGTGATCACTCTCAGTGCAGGTACAACTCAACGCCTGGTGTACATATGCAGTAGCTTGGGAGTAGAAGTCCTTTAAACGACTGCTGCAAGTTGGCGTTGGTGAGAGAAAATAAGTGCCTGCGTTCGAACAAGTGGTCGCTAGTTGAAGATAGATTTGAAGACATTTTCGATCTTGGATACAAAGACGATACGCATCGTAACAATTTGTGACGTCTGTTGAAATACAATTGAACACAAAGATCAACATGAGTGGTGTGCACAAAGTCCATATTTAGGTGAAGTCAAACGTTTTCTGAACACATAACAGGGATCGAGAAAGTTAATATCACCTTTAGAAATATGAGTAACAGCCATATATGCGTGTATTCAGCCGACTGCCAACTTTGTCATCGAATGATTTCTGTAAAACCGCCGACCAAATTATTTCCTCAATGAGTGTCTGGGAGTTTTGCTCCAAATCAAATCGACATATCAGTCACAATGAAAGGTTTGTTCGTAACATCCATGTTTTGGACATATCCGGAATTTCGTTCTTAAGCGGCTGAATATACCCGTTGTAGTCATGATGACATGACAATTTCGCCCTTATTACCCTATTTACTGAAATAAGACAAGGGAGTCCGCATCATTCGTCTTACTCCCATGTCATATTCAAACATTCAAGCATTTTCAAGGGGTATTTGAAGTTTCTTAACAAATCTCTTGCTCGGATTGACTACAAAAATATACAACCGCGTTTCTGCTTGAAAATATTAAAATTTACAGGCACAAATGTGGAAATATTAGCAATTAAAGTCTGAACTCCAGAGGAAACACAATCTTAATGACTTTTGTGGAATGCAAACCTAAAGTGGTAAAGCTGAGGAAAATATCGGGTACTGTTTTGATTTATGAACTAATTGTGGTTCGCAGTCATCGAAATGGTTCCTCCGTCGAGTAGTTAGACCATCTGTTAGAGAAGTCGGAATGCTGAAGAAGTGAAAGTTATAGTGAATTGTAAATCAGGCCCCTATTAAGCTCTGTCAATAGATAGCTTATCGTTTATGTACTGAACGTTTTTTCTAATGTTCGTGAAAATCATATTTGGATACAGTGCACCTTTCGCAAACTCTGGACAACATGTTGCACCGAACTTTATACAGTCCTTATTAAAGTGACGGTTTTTAACTTACTAGTTGTAGCACCTCCTGGATTAGACGACGATGTAGGCCAGCCTGGACTGGTTGCAACGGCCTTGAAATATTGTTGGTTTTGCAAAGAAGTGCCTTGTTGCTGAGATTCCACCTGCGTCCCAAACAACTTTGGGAGCTCCATTGAAGAGAAGTCCTGCGTCGATTTTGAATCAGTCGTTTCTTCAGTTGCTAAGGCTAAAAAACAAAATTATGCTTGTTTTTCGGTCTGGTTATTTAACATAGTTGACGCGTACAAATGTAATCACCAGATCTGAAACGCTGACAAAAACGCCTTTCGAAATTCGGTCAGTAAATAAATGCATGGAGATACAAACGTTGTATATTGCCTTCAATAAATAATCTCTTGCTCGTACGGGTTTCGGGGCATGCTTTAGTAATTCCCTCAGAGAAATACTAATGGGATAAAGGTAGGTAGGAGTCAAAACAAAATGCAGTATAGTTGTATCCAGTTGCAAGCTGGACATCAATCAGTTTGCCTTTCAATCTGTCTCACTCATTGCCAGATTGCAACTGAGTTCCGACGAGAATACGGTAGTCATCAGAAGGTCAAAATACTGCCTTTCTGGGAGCGGTCTGCCTCAACGCGACCAGGTTTTAACTCTCAATCACAAGCGCAACGGTCATAGACGAATTACTTGTGCGAGACATCCTCAATTACCGAGGCGAGGCCTACTTAATGTGGTTGGTTACAGCACAGCTGTGCTGTCAGTTCCTTTCAATCAACAAGCAGTATTATACTCTTCCTTAATGAATTGGCTGCTCGATTGCTCCAAACCTGAAAACACTGTAGCATTTTTTAAAAATTTTATCCAAACAGAATTGTGATAACGCAAGCTGGAGTAGCGTATTTCATTCGATTGTAGTTAAGCCTGTATGGGATTTGTCTTTGATGCTCCATCCGATTTCGCTAATTTTATAGGTATTGCCCAATCTGATCACTGAATGCAAAGAATCTTTCGTATGCTGAAGACGTAAAGTCCGCCAATCGGGTTCGATTATCCACGGAAAACAGCTTAGGTTTCGTTGGCGCACAGTAACCGAACCCAATACATTGTTTTCCTGATGATTACACTCAAACTAGGGTTATCCCAAGCTTTGGTTGACGCAAGGTTTGAATGGAATAGATGCACCGGAAAACAATCTCACACACTTAATTCTCTTATGAGACACTGGGTTTCAGCTGGCCAATACTACTGAGCTTACCTATTGAGCTTACCTAATGCCTCAACTATTTGTACCAGTATTTAGGGTTTATCCATAATACGTGTGTGTATGTGTGCACGTACCTTGCTATCATTGCCACCTTAATAGTTAAGCCAGCAAAATCTGCGAACTCCATTGGTTGTTTGTGTTGTTTGCTAGCATTCAACTTTAATTCGTCTCAGGAATTAAGTTCGGGCTGAAACATAACTTGCCTCCGTCGAAAGCAGACGTGTGCGAATAGCTATGCTTCAATCCTCTGTGCGCGTCATACCCACGCTGTCAAACGCGACCAGGAAATGATGACGGAAATGACACCCCTAACTTGATGCTTCATCAATATTTATCAGTGATATCGTTTACCATACCTCCCATTGTGAAAAAAAACAACCTGAATCGACACTATATATGCGAGCAAATTATTGCTGGAAAGCTGCATACCCAATGAAAAAACTGCACAGCAAACAAATGCTACGGATGATTGAAACAAAGAACTCACCCACACACTGATTCAAAATCACACTCTGCTCATAGTCCAAACAACGCCGTTTACGCACTTGGTCGCCTTCCGTATCGCATGAACAATTCCCATGTGTCCCATAACGTTCGATTGCTCGGTGTGCCAATAGGCACTGTGATCTGTCAATGGAACACAGATTGTGAATGAAGCACAATCGGAATTTCGTTAGTTATTTTCAGAAGGAAAATGATGTATTTCGTTGTTCATAAGGACGTAAAAATTATATATATATATATATATATATATATATATATATATATATATATATATATATATATATATATATATATATATATATATATATATATATATATATATATATATATATATAATGACCTTTTCGTTCTGCGTTGCCCACTGAGGGCAAAGAACTTTCACTTGCGTTAAGCATTAAGATCCAGTTTTCTTCACTAGTAGACACGTTCATCTCCACCTCTGTAGCTACTGTTGCCTTATAATTCATTTGTTCATTTCAGTTGATATTCCGCACTGTAACCGAAACTAGTCTATACTGAAGAACCTTTGGGGCATAGTCATTAGCAGTGCGCCACTCACGAAACTTTGAGAGTTTTAAACGTGCAGTCTTCCGGTCTGTGGCTGGACACTATTATTATTATTATTATTATTATTATTCAATCGTGAATCACGTCATCATGTGAAGACTAGCTTCTCGGGCGACGACTTTTCAGATGGACGTCTTACAGACCTTGTTCAGTCATTCTTCCTCTCAGCCACTTATGGAATGATGGCAGTATGAGTAGATTGGATGGTTTTCAAGTACAATTTAGACCATTTAGTGAAGCCAAAACTACGCTTTTCGTAAGGAAGAAACAGCTACACAATGCCTCTCGGCTTTTTAGCATAGATTGGATTAACTGAGACTCCCCTATTTGGATTGATAATTGAGAAATTCCATCATTTCATTGTTTATCTCCATACGTGGATACCGCAAAACACCTCATGTAAAGGACTTGTTGTCTAGAAAAATAATTAAACACCATGGTTTTCATCAAAGAGTAAGACAAGAGTTTATGTGACGAAACGTACAAAATGGAACTCTTTCAATGAAATAGTTATTTCTTGAGCGCAGATAAAACCACAACTGTGCTGCAAAAATTATCTGCTCTTTGAAGAATTTCCTTGTGAATCAAATATCTTTGTAAATCTGCTCTCCCCTCAGCGCGAATGAACTAGTATGCGGTAGTTTGCCAATTATCTCATGTACGATTTGTCTGAGACTGGAGGTATCTATATCTCATAGCTTGATGATCGCCTGATGATAGCTCACGCTTATTCCGGCAACTTATTTAATGACTCTGTAAAAACCAGTCATAAGCACTTTTGCCGCCGAAAAATTGCCTTTTTGGCTTACCTGAGTTTATTGCAAGATCTTGGTGTGCACAATGCCCTGTACCGATTCAAAGTCCTAGCACACGAGGGCTGGTTGGTGCACTGTTCTAGCAAAACAAGGCAACTAGTCATGTTAGCCATTGAGGACAAAGTTAAATTGGCGTTCTCCGACCCTTCTTCCATGCCTTGCGAAACAGTCTGGTTGTCCACTGTAATTTTGCTTGGCTCTTGGGTAGCTATTTGTTCAGAATAACCGACAACCGGGGGTTCAAAATTTTCCTCTGAAGAACCAGCACCAGGATGGGAGGAATTCGTGGTAGTCTGAGGCGCCGCATCTGCAGGCAGGAAAACAATGGAAAATTACCAGTCAGACCCGAATAATGAAGCGCCTTTTACATTTTTGAGCGTCATCATGTTTTAAACGCTTGTGCAAAAGTTGACCTTGTAGTTGTTAAGTTTACATTTTTCACCACTATAAAAGTAGTATGGAAATAATTCCCTTGCATAACCAGATACTATGGGCTTGATGGCGCTTCATTTTCTCCACCATTTGCGTTACTTAACAAGGCGATCAACGTGTTGTCCATCGATAAGCCCGACTAATACCTATTTTTGATAGAATAGATATAATTACAGGAAAACTAATGTTTTTAGCGGAGCTTCAATGAGTAGCAGAGCAAGCGAGATTTAGTGAGAAGGCAATCGCTAGGATAAAACTTTTTAGCCCACAGGGATATGCCCTAACGAACCTCTGAGGAATTGACGTTGAAACAAAAACTTGGCGAAATCCTGTACATCCGTCGTTGTCCATGGGACGGGGGTTTGCCGAATTGCGGGATCTATCTAGACATCAATCAGCAACATCCACGGTAGGTACTTACTGAAAAATATAGCGATACGAAAGATTTAATCAAGTATGGATTACTCGAAGGAAACCATACCGCTCAAACTTTGTGACGTAGTCAGCCATACTTATCCAGACGGTCCAATTATCCTGCTCTTATTAATTACTGGAGAGCTTCCTCCATATGGCGCGTACTAAATCCGATCTTTGTCCTTTACACGTGGCAGGCTAATGTGTGTAACTATGGTAAACGGTATAATAACTGAATGGACTGGAGCTTACACCGTCGACTGGCGGAATATACTTAGAGGGATCTGAGTCAAGCGCGAAACCGCTTAATCAGTGGGCTGCAAGCTGAGAAGCAAATGATCGCTCAATAACTAATTGTCATCAAATTACTCCGAAAGTGGACTAGGTCTTCTCAAGTTTGCTGCCGAACTCATTGGCTGTTGGACCAAGGAATCGAGCCAAGTATTTTAGCACAGCATCACATTTGGCTCTGCGCAACCCCTTTGTTGACGAGCAAAACCACTTCGGATGTCTAGAAAGCGAAAAGTTATACAATACTTCCGTTACTCTGCTAGTTGTTGTCTAAACATACCAGCGCCTTGCTGATTCACTGCGTTTATTGTGCTGTGAACTGTTGACGATTTCGGTCACTGGTAAACAGGTGTTCCTTACAAGCCCACGAATTTTCTGACACGGATATCTGACCAAGCCGCTTCACACAGTTAATCAGACTCATAACACGGACACCTAGGTGCATCATTCAATCTGAAACAAACAATTACTTAAGGTAGACATGTTTACAAAGACAACTTCTGCCGCTTTGTGTTACTGTGCCACAAAATTTCTAACCTCATAGCACACCTGCAAAGTTGATTGGCTGTCAGCAAAGTGACCATATACTTTCGTTACATATAGCAGCCAGGTGCTGATTTGTTGCTGGTGATTTTTCCTATTTGACGGGTCGTCCCAAACTGTTGTTGCTCCCGATGATTGATCTGCTCATAGTGAGCTCCAGAACTAATTTCTCGTCTCTTGGAACTGGGCAAAAAAGTGTACCAGCTAGACTGACGAACATCAATCAGTTTTATCTGATTTATGAAGCTAATAGATTGTATCTCAGAAAAGCAAGCCATCAAACCCCGTCTTTAATTGAGCCCGTTATCATAGTTCGGAAATCTGCGCTTGATTTATTGCCAGTTGTGTGATGTTTTAGGATGAATAAAGAGGCCGGAAATTAACCCTTGTAGCCTATTCCGGTGCACCACAGATTACAATAAAATGGACAGCTGACTCTTAGTCATGTTGGATAATTTGCTAGATAAGTCCAATAACTTCGGCAAATTTTGAACACATGTCAATCAGGCTTGAAAGTTGACCTTCAAATTTCCTTTGTGCTCCCCTTTATGTCGATAATTATAAAGTCGAGACCGGCAGTCGTTTATTCAATTCTGTGACTTTGTTTTGCCTATAGACGGATGCGGGCTGAGATCTGTAAAAGGATAACATGCTCTGTTTGCTCATAGTCCCTCAGTTGTTATCTTTTGCTAATTACTTTACAAATTTTTGTATACATGACGTATCTATATTGTTTGCTCCTTTCGTGCCTTGGTCAATTATTGGTAATCTGTGTTTGTTGTCCAAGAACCTGCGTACCAGATTAACTTCAGTGTTTGAACAACTGCTGGTGTCTTGATTTGTGGCATTAGGGTCAACCATATTGGCTGAGAAATTCAACTTGCTGGTTTCTGGGTTTCATCTTCCTGTTGTTACACGAACCTATATGCAGCAATTGCGCAAACAAACGTGCATTCATGCCACGTCCCCCGTTGCATCGCGAATCCAGAGTCGGATCGGGGCAGGTTTATTCATCGAATACGGCAAACTAGACAAGCAAAACACACGAATGTCCACACATCCCTTCTCGTTTCACTATTCCTTTCAGCATTTCTCGTATTTCATTTGACTACTCTTCCGTAGAGTTCAGTTTTAAGAACCACGTGAAGACATTCATGAAAGTGTTGAAATGTGCAGCACCCATCAGAGTGTCACAAGCAGCGAGGTATGAGAGAGAAAACTTACGGGACTGTTGGTGCAACTAGCCTCTAGGAAGGGGTTTTACGTGCTCCTTATTATCTCGGGTTTGAGGTGCCGCAAAAATTGCTGCCGAAAAAGTAAGTTGCGTTCCTGTATTCGTTCATTCCTGTATTCATTCCTGTATTCCACATAGTTGTGATAAATAGATAGATGTGATTTCTAATTTCGGTAGCCGCTGTGAACCTCTAAGTTGGAAAGCACTGCTGCGATATTTTGAGTGACCCGTGTCCCCCCGATATTACAGGGAATGAAAATTGACTCTGTGACCCGTTTCACCTATTTTTCACCTTCAAAAGCTGTTGTTGCATTTTGACAGAAGTCATGGTACGCGATATCCGTGCGAGCGTAGAACTTGTGAATTTCATTTATTTGTGATATCAGAAACATTTATTGGAAGCTAAAATACCCTCGTGCACGGTACCAGTGCATGAAATATGTTATTCGAAAACTTGCACCCACGGATCAAAGTATATTAGTCGCATTCGAAGTTTTGACCGTCAGTTTCTTCATAATAAAGTTAGTGTTGACTAGCTGGAGCACGGTTGCTTCTACTTAATGCGTAGGGATGTACTTGGTGAATCACTGGAACACTACACAAAACTCATGTAGTTAAAGTAGTCTATGTGTGCAAGTCGAAATTCCCGCGACCAAGCTTTTCAACTTCAGACCCGTTGGTGAGAGGCCTACCGTGGCACAGGTCACGAAAAGGTAAGGCGAAATGAAGGCATTTACAGTCGAGCTAAGGATACTTGCACTTTCCTGGTTAGAGTCCGCGTCATTCCAGTTGCATTTGGCAAAAAACTACATAGGACAGGGCGCATAAACAACCTGTGAAGAGCATAATGTCTGTCTAACTAGCATATTCTTTGTTGATTTAAGTTAGATTTATCGAAGTAAGTTTCGCAAAGGAATTTGAATCAATCCGCCTATGGCGTCTTATATCAATGCGACATTCAGAAGTGTTTATCTTGTTCCATTTTCACCTATATTGTTCTTGAACGGTTCCCACTGAGTCTAGAATTACCAGGTGTTTAGGCCTACCATTAATTGGGTAAAATGTTACGTAGTTTACCGAATAATTTCGATGGATCTCACTTGAGGGTTGGTTGTCTGTCGTATTTTTGCACATATTTCTGCTTATAACACAGGGCTTGTCACAGCTGTCATCCTTATTTTTTATATTGTTCAACTCACCATATGTGACCCATATGTCCCATCTACCAGTTTTTGTCGTTGAAGTCACTGGAACCACTTTATATTACGAACAAAACTTTAATAAACCCGGTCATTGGGGGACAAACGTAGGACTTAAGTGCGAATGAGCAGGCCTTGTCACTATGATTCACCTGCCTGTCGGCTTCTGTTCGGCCACGTAGCATATTAATTTAAGGGTAGTCGTGTCTGGCAACATGCAGAAACGTTTGAACCAAAGTTTAACGAATAACTTGATGAAAGATATTTTTGTATTGTAGGATTCGTTCCAGAAAATCACATCTTCCACAGTAAGTACTGCACGACAAAAGTTTGCTGACAACACTCAAAAGTCGAGTGGCCAGAACACAGGCAAAAATCAACACTCTTAAACAAGGAACTATCATCAAATCGTTGTCTTTCTTTAACTTTCGAGGTCTACGTTTTTCAGCTTACCAGTTAGATGGGTGCGGAAATGCATGTGTTTTGCGATCTGTATATAAAACTCTGTCGTGAGGCTAGCAGAAATTAACTAGTGGTTATACTAAACACGCATATCCTCCAATGCCAAAAGAAAACGAATTCAGCTTGTAACTTACTTGCCCCAGAAAACAGTTCACTAGATTCCTGAGTGGATGTCTGTTCAATGGGTGTGGCGCTGTCTCTCTTCTCGGCTGAATCTTTAAGCCGATGCTCCACATTTAAGTTGAAGTTTGTAATCTCTCGGTACAATAGGGGTGGTTCCTGTATACACGGATGGCTGTTTAAGTTACGCCTGAGTAAATTGCACTTGGACAAGTCCTCAATAGAACGACTGACCTGTCCATCACAAGTGCAGTGACGCAGGTTGGGTCTGCCATGATTCACGGTCTTTAATGCTGAGCGACATTCCTTTACAAATTGTTTGTGACAACCAAGAAGACTGCGTTCTGAAATAAACAATTGTATTGGAAATGCAACATGTGTTATCGGAATACATGAAATAATAAACGTGCATCATTAAAGAATGGTATGTGGTGCGCTGTTTTACGATCAATCGTGTGACAGTGCGTTGAAATAATTCAGTATCAGTGAAGAGGGCCTCCTTATTTCCCACTAGTTGCTTATAATAAGATAATCGTTCAACTTAAGCACCCTTTCGGTGCCTAGTTGCAGCGCTACCCGAAGGGAGCACAAAGGATTGGATACTGCCAGGTTGCACAAGACTAGACAGACAGAATCGAGATACAAAGACAGGGTTCAAAATACAAACTTTCCAGCCATTCAATTCACGCTCTAACCACTGATACATTTTGCTTGGCTAATCATCCCCTCATTTAGTGGATCTGGTGTTATGAAGCGCGTTTCCAAAGCTTTTTCCTTATTACAGTAGAGATGCACATGGAGAATCAATGCTTTTGAGCCTACGAGTGTTAGTGAGTTTGATTTTTTCACTGACTGGATTATTTCAGTCACTGGATAAATATAAATATTCAGGTCAGAGTGTAATCTGTGTTCGTATTCCACCTCACAATTTCAAATCAATGTTTATTTATTCCTCGCAAGCTTCTAGCACAATTTCTGGTATGCTGATATGGCCTAAATCTGATGGCATAAAACTTGATTGAGTAAGACTCTCAAGATATTTTATGGGAACCGATGGAGATGGGCCTTTAATAAATTATACTGTGGAAACAATTGGAATACTCTAATAGTGAGCAAATGGCTGTATTCATGCGCTCTCATACGCAAGATACTGTCCCTTGTTAGTGAGTTCACCAGTAGTGCGTCACTGTGTCATTCAAAAGAAATTTCGGACTTACAGATAGTTTACGCCCACCCTCCATTTCGCATCATAGTTACAAAAACATGAGGATCATGTTTTTCGTAGGCAAATGGTTGCACATTTTTTAAGATTGCAACTCACCATTCCTCCAATCTCCACAAAACTGCTTGAAAATTTCCAAATCAACACGGCATATTCCTCTTTGTGTCTCGCATGACCTTAGCGACTGAAGACAATCTTTGGTTGCCGATCCTGTGTCCGGTGTCTTGTTATCTTGATAAGTTAAAGCCGCTGGGTTGTCGGTGTCGTCGGCAGACTGTAGGTATTCCACAGCAGCTAGAGGTGGGTGGATTGTTGCACGAATATCCCAGTTCGGAGGTGGTGCTGCTTGTGAAATCCATTCGTTCCAAATAAGAAGCCATGTGTAGAACACGAATATCCTATTGTCCATTAGAAAAAAGGTTTTAAGTTGAGCTTGTGGAGTATGGATTGTCGAAGGCGTATAAATTCTTCAATACCTTACGAAGAGTGGTGATAATATATGAAATGAGTATCCTGAGAGTTTGACTAGTTATTATTTAACGAGCCGACAACCACTTCGTATAGAGAGAATCACATATTTTACAGGACCCGGATGTTTTTATATATGTTGAGAAACCGTTTTTACAACAATAAGACTAAAACACATCGGGTGTAGACCTTTGACCACCATCATTAATAAGTGGCGATTTTTTTAAAAAAAACAGCGAAAAGCAATAAAAGTTTCATTTTTACAGATGCGAATCATCGCCAATCTGCAGGTTTTCCAAACGAGCTGTGCTGCGGGGCTAATGCAATTCTGCTGTTTTGTTTACACTATTTATATTCTCGCGTTATTTTTATGACGGATTTGTTGTGGCAGTTCATCGCCTATCCCATTCGGTGCTCGTTTGCAATGTCTGGGCCAACGCATATTTTCAGACACTTGACAGCTTACTAGCTTAATCCAGTTTACCTAGTTAGTCTTTCTTTCCCACTTCAATGACTCCACGTATTTGACGTTGAACCACAATCGATGAAAAAGTTCCTCAGTCTCTTCTGACACCAGCACTACAGAATACACTCTCAATGCTTCCATGCAATGAGTAGTAAATAAGAAAGCCTGACGTCAACAAAAGTTCAGCAGTTCAGCTAGTCATCATTTGGAACACCTTTCGTAATATCTCTTCCTTGGGAAGCCACTCTTTGTTGCTGCATCTGCCCCAAAGGCAAGAATGTGAAAACTGATTTACTCATTTACATGTAAAGTAAGTGGTGACCTAGTGCTTATCCTTACCATACATGTTTCCATTTAGCGGACGTCTAGTTACTGAACAGTTTACCATTTTCTTTGTTCTGATCTGGTATTAAAATTTCACATGTGAACAAGCGAGTGAGCATAGCAACAGTCATATAAGTAGGCTATTCAACGGCAATGTGGTTCGACACAGTAATGTGTCCGATGCCGAACATCTCGTCCGTGATGGCACTTTTCTCTTTTAATGTGGGTCGCCGAAAGGACGCAGAATTATGAAACACGCAACCCTTTGACCTCAGTTTCAGACACCCACTGAACAGTTTGTGCAGCCGATGACATCCTGAATGGTTAGGTCCGCGTATCTTCCTAGCTCCTAGAAATGGGGTTTGCTTCTAAAATAAAGCAAGTGACTAATCTATGTAACTTTATGCTAAACTGGTCGTTTTGCAGGTCAATCGAAGGGGCTGGGTTAACGGGACGTTTAGAAAAGTTAAGAAATTACTCAGTTTGAGTTTTGGCAGACAAAAACGGTTGAAGTGTAAATGATTAATGTGGTCGAAAATAAAGTGAATTTTTTTCACAAAGAAGATCAAAATGTTATCAAAATAAAACTCGTAGAACTGAGTGTCATTCAGTGTATCGGTAACCTGACTTCCTGCCTGTCCTTCCTAAGGCCGTCGGCCAGAGCTGAGCCTAACAGTCTACACAGAGCTAAACTATCTGTTTGCGTACAGATTATACCTTCAAGCTTAAGGCGGGGATTTTCTGTACACGATGAAATAAGATCTTTGGTAACTCAAGGGGAAATCCATTTAATAACCTTTGTTATTGAGGAAGGTAAGCAAATAGTCCACGCAGCTCAAAAATCGACAAGTAATGGGTCTAAATCGTTACAGGGTAAGTTTCGAGAACACGGTGATAAATTTACCAAGGTACATTTAATTTCAGAGAATTTGTCCAGATAATAGGGAGTCAAATACCTCTGAACATGGTCAAATTTATCTATCAACCATTGAGCTAGCTTGTGATGAGCTGAATTTTTCAAGTCTGGGAACAGTCCCATAAAGGCACGTGGTATGTGAACTTTCGGCGAGCATCTTATTATTGTATTAATGGGCCTTAGCTCTCCTTAATGTGCCGACGTTATGGTTCTAATCCCGGTACGACTGATCACGCAGTCTCTGGGATTTTCGATCGTTCATTGTCTCAGTGAAAGGGGCCTTCTCTGCGACATGTTGATGTCACTCTTGGTTCCGCTGTGCAATTTGAACTCAACTGTTAGCAAAAAACTAAGCCGTGCTGGCCACCACGAGATCAATCCTATACGCGCAGAATATGCTGACCAGGAACACATGACCTTGCACTCTTTCACCTTTGTAAACCGGTCTTTTTAACCAGTGTTTGTTTCTCTATCCTTGTCACATGAATATATTCACACCACTCTCGCTTGAACGGTCATGATGTTCTGGCGTAATTATTCTGGTGAGTCCACACCAAAAAGAAACACTGAACTCGATTTTCACTCTTATTAGAGTCAATCAGCATTGCGTATCCAATGGCCGTGAGGGGATTTGAACTCCGGATATCTGACACGCGAGTCGAGCGTGTTCCGTTACTATATCAACGCACGTTGGACGCATCTGAATTTTCACGTCTGAACAGGCCAACACATTCACACTTGGGCGATGTGATTGCTGTGCCCGACTCATCGAAAGTCGACCCAGTAACTGTCCTGGTTGTGATGAGCTTCTGATCCTTCAGTCAGGACGGCACGGCCATTGGGTATACACTACTGGTGAGCTCTAATAAGAGTGAAACTCGGGTCCAGTGCTTTTCTTTGGTGTGGACTCACTAGAATAATTTATCCAGAACAAGAGGATAGTCGTTCACACGAGTGATGTGAATATGAACCAAATACATATTCCGCGAAACCCCACAACGAAAACACATGGTGATTTGCCTTTCGGGACTGACGAAAGTAAATGGAACTTTGAATTATGCTTTCTCGCTGTCCTGGAAACATCCGAAATCAGTTAGGCTACCATTAAAGTATCACTGCTATTGAAGTAGCTATTTTATTCAAAATATTTTCGTCAGAAGTTCACTATGGCTTTTTAACGGCCCGTTAGGCGATTGGTCACTCGTTTTTCATTCAAACTAAGAGCTGCTCAAATACTGTCAGTACATAAAAGATTGGCATTCCTTTCGTTCACTTCCTGAAAAGTAGTTGAGACTTTTTGGACTCTGAGAGACTTGAGATTCAACAAAATGTACTAGGCGATATCATTTGCCTGAGTTTCACGTTCCGCAACATAGTTACGTGACTTTCGCATACTTCCTTCTTTCCAGAAACCAGCTATTTGCTCAACATCCTGTTCAGATTTAACGGCTCCCCTGATTTCTTTGTCCTTCCATTCATTTCCAGACTCAGTACACCTAGTGTTCTACGATTTAAAGCATCCGTCTGGACTTTTCCCTCTAAGGAAGCAAAACAAGTGATGCATATCCCAAGCTAGCAGCTAGCTTCGAGACATGCACCACCGCCGCTGTGAATAATTGATGACGGGAATACACAACAGCTGGAGTGACCCTTCTACTTTTTAACGGGTGGTCTAAAACTGGAGCGCTCATCTTAAATGCGGTAAAAATATATATCCAAAAGCTCGGTAAACTTAGGATTCATTTAAAATGAACGAATTTAGTTGTGGTACACCGCTGTTTACGAAAATGACAGTGGGTGTGCATTAGTATCCTGCAAAAAGAATTACCAGAAGATTCGATCATCGAACTTTGGCTTAAACGATAGCTTACTCATACCTAATCATTCTTATACTCGAGTACTTGCAAAGTTTCATAATATGCAAACTGTTCATGCTGTTGACGGCACCTTTTGTCAAGTGAGTTTGGCTCAACAGATTTTTTTATTTGGACATCATATGATAGTGCACCGGTAAGTAGGGTTTTTGAAAGTCGAAGTGATTGGATCACTTCACCCTATGGTAAAATTTGTTCCCCTTAATCAGACGAAGCAAATGCCTAGGCAGTCAGAGCCATTTTTTGTTGCAAAAACACCATACCGGCGAGTTCCGTAAATGATTACACTTACCTCATCCATACGGCAGCATTTATCGGACTGTACGGGTAATTTATCATTCCATCTTGCGGTCATTTGTTTTTACGTTTGCCCCAAATAACCGCGAATTTTTTTAAGTACTAGGGCTTCCGAAAACTTTCGGAAGTTTGTTGGTGAAGTGTAGAGCAAAATGTTACTCATACAAGTCTGTACGTCTACGCCATGAGTACACCACTAATTAAAGAGAGGCAGTACATTTTTGCCCACGAGTGTTAGCGCCACGTGTATCCGAATAGCCAGAGACAGATATAAATTAGAATAACCAGGTAAGCACCAGCCACTGAGATACAGTAGAAGTTTTACGAGATATATCAAGAGCAGAAATGTAAAATGAACTGTTCACCTTGGGAAGATAGCCAATTTCAGCGCAGATGCGACCGAAAGAATCCCCAGAATACTCACCTACCTAAGCAACGGCTACACTAGCTGCGCGGCTTGCATCCACAGAAGTTAAAGCAAGTCCAGGATGCAAGGCCATCATAAAAGCGCGGAAAACCCTAAATGACCTGCATAAGAAGCAAGAACTAACTCCGTGCAATTGTATTTGACGTATGCAAGTATCAAGCTAGTAAATATAGCAAAATTCAGCCTCTACATACCGCAAGTCTATGAAGAATGTATTCCGACCAAAAATGGAAAGATCTTGCAGTAAATTGACATCAGTATAATGATGATTTTGAGGACAGCTTGGTGATTTGAAGAACCTACAAAGCTTTGCTTGGAGATGAGCAGTTAAACGTACTTACGGGATCCCAGTGGACGACCTTCACTTATATTAAGATACAGGAAAACCCAGAATCACAATCTTTTCATAACTGTACCAGAGTTGTATGCGCGAATACCATATTATCTCAGGTACAGCGATAGCTAGCGAACCAAAGAAAAGTTTATTGCACTTTAAAGTCAGAATGCCTGTACAGGATTACTGGCTGTTGTCTCACACGCACCCTAATGGCTACTGGGATATTTCATTGTTCAAGATTCTAAATAAACAAGAGAATGATCGACATCAACTTTGAAAATACGTTTATTTTGTCTGTGTGTGACTACGAAGACTTCCCCAATCAATATCAAGCTAAGAAATGCCTTAGCATGATCATATCCAAGTTTTTTTTTTTTCACTCAGACACATTACTTCGCAGCCTCTTTGTCCTCAAGGACTAAGTTAACGGGGGTTCTGCTTGTAAATCAGTGGGGTCTTATATGTTGTTAGCTTGCTTCTATTAGCAAGAGTCCCTATGTTGTCTCTATCCTTCATGAGTCTGACTATTACACACAAACATCAGGATAACATCAATGTTACCAGTACACGTCTCAAAGTTACCAGACAATCTCTTACCCAAACTGAAATTTCGGAAGTATATAAAAAGTTTAACATCTTCAAGATGGCGTCTGCCTGATAAGCAAAAAAAGTACCTCAATAATTAGACATCTTCAAAAACCGCTAAATTACACAGATGCTTTGAGTTCAAACTCGCGTTTGTTCATTAGAACTCTCATTAGGTCAAACGGATTTAGGTGACCATTATTACAATGCTCTGAATGCAGCCGAGTCTCGTTAGGCCGTAATCATTTTTGTGTTACTAGTTTGCTAGTCAAAATGTCAGGGTATACTCAACGTGTATTCATTTCAACCTTTACTTGAGGTTTCACACCATACATTTTCCACACACATCAATATACCGGCAATCATCCACCAGGATTTCCAATGCGGAATCTAATTTTGAACTTTCACCAAATTTAGGACACTGCTCTTTGTATTCTTCCGGGTTCCCATGGTTAGATAATTAATGCTTTTTAGGTTTCGCATGTTTTGAAATGTCAAACCCACGAATGTAAGACTGTGGGGGGATACGGTCGATTTATAATCCTGAGATTTGTTACCCGTCTCGAAACCTTCAAACACAAACAAAAGAGGCTTAAACATATATCGAAACAAATGATCATAATACCCGACTTTTTGTCTGGTTCACCACAGTGAAATCTACTACAACTACAGACTGTAGAATTTCTCCGTGAAGC